ATATCTTCTCCTTTCCAATGTCTGTCTCTTCTAAATCCTTTATTTATGTCTACCGTTTATTCACATCTATCTATACCAGCCCTGCCCAATAAGAAACCACTGATATCCACTAAAACGGCTTCAATAGATATCACCTTAACAACTTATATCCAAATTTGTAATGATTTAGAAACAGAAGCATACATATTCACCAGGATATTATGACAAACTCACTGGAGCTCCTTAAATACATCCTTACGTGCAATCCACTCCTTATGGTATAATCCATTATACACTGGCCTCACGGGACTATTTAGCTAAGACCTTACAATTATATGAAGAATCCGAATAGATCACACCAAACTTACACATAGCTTCCTGATAATATCAGATGCCCGACCTATCTATCAAACAAGCCAGTGCCAACTAAAAGTAAAAGAGATTCTTACCAAATGTCCTCAATACAGTGAAGTCAGATGACAGATAAATCTCACAGCGCAGCTAGACGACATTCCCATTGATCCCAACTTTTAGAAATAGTACATTGTTTACCGGGTAGGAAAAGCTTAACATTCCTGGACGACTGTGAGGATTGCTAAGTCGAGGCGCAAGCCGAGACTTAGCAACACAGAGTCCAGGAATGTGGCTTTTCCTACGAGGTAAACATACTATTTTTCCGCAAATCGTTTAAAATTCGACAGATATTGATTGATTTAAAAAAAAAACGCGATAATTTTATTCCCAAATAAATGGTGCTTTGAAATTCCTAATAAAATTACTTGGGTTACTATGGAAACGTATTGAGGTTGAATTGTCAAACTTATGTAGAACACTAACAACTGTACGGAAATATCATTTCCTTACAGTAAGGAAGTCCTGACTTTTTCTTCAAGAAATTTTGACAGGAATGTCAAAATTTCCTGGCGATTTGCGGAAAAGTATCATTATAATAAAAACTGTAAAAGATTTCTGTATGATATACTTAATGTATGATATACTTATGACAATATATGATAACTTATTATTGCTATTCTACCTCTTGTAATGTTATTTGTTATCACGTTCGTGCGAGTGGCCATAATTGCCGAGGACGTAAATGTAAATAAAAAAAAATATTATAAAGAATCATATATAAATTTTAAAAAATCATATGATTTTAAAAAATAGAAGAAGCTTTTTTTATTCTATTAGAAGTTTCTTTATGCCTTTTTTGAAAAAATATATTAATTCCTGCTTTATTGTTGAGGACATTTTCTTGTCTTAACATGTACTTCTTATTTATAGATCAACGCAAGTAAACATTTACATATTTTTGTATACACATATTTTACTATCGGAAAATTCTTTAATTACACATTTTTACATAATATAACTTATACATTTTAGAGGTAGATTTTTTTTGGTTATATAACTTTGAGACATATTTTTCAAAAATACGAAATATTTGAAATACCGTAAAGCTCAACGTAAAATAACATCACGTCAAGCCACATAAAAGTTTTAAAATATATCTCGCATTGAAAGGACAGAAAATATATATGGAATGGCTAACGAGACAGCAACACAATGACAACTGAGTAACGATCCTGCCATTATTAATGCCAGGAATTGGTTTAAAACAAAAATATTTCTCTGTTGAGTTCACATTTTTTAACTTTTTAGAATCCTACTTTGAATTTTACCCATTGTTGTAAAACAGCAACTAATACTATATGAGCTCAGAAATGTATAAAAACGTTGAGTTGTTAAACAATTCCATTTTAAAACTAACTTGAATTATGATTTAGCGTTTGTGCACTTATTTAAGTAAAAATTTCTATGGACAGGTTTAAACAGAATAACAAGTAGTTATTAAGGACTCGACAGATAGTGAAACACAGTCACTTTTTGTCCATTTGTCCGTCCATTTGTGCAATATTTCACGCAGAAAAAGTCCTAGAAACTTCTTCCTATTTTTATATTTTTAGGTTTTTTCATTTTCTTGAAGAAAATATTCTAGAACATTGAAATTGGTTTGTATATTTCTCTTGTTCCAAGGAAAGTCCCTATTGAATTTGGATTAATAGGTTTTCTTCTTTTCATATTTTTATAGCCTTTTACTAAGATAACAGACCAATGTTAAAAAAAAATTTCCATTTATTTCTAATAGTAACATATAATTAATCAAACTTGTAAATTAAAATCAAATTTAACATCGTCTGTAATAGTGCATGTGCTAACTATCCAAGAAAATCCATTTATTGTGCAATAATGTTCTTTTTAATAGAAAATACAAAGAAATATAATTCTTGTTAAATAAAAATATTATGGTCTAAAGGTCTAAAAACGTTTAACCAGGATAAATTCGTAAATTCAGCAGAATTGTTCTCTAATCCTTATTGAAGTTTAAAACTTCAATAACCAATATTTAATCTTCAGCAATCGCGGCAGGGTATTATAAAACTACAAAGTAAAATTCCTCTGCCATGCTTTTACAGTCAAATATTTTGCAGTTGGGATTTAATCCCGAATATTCTCACAGCAAAATGAATTTTCCAGTCCAGTAAAACTTATAATGAAATCCACACTGACTAAAAAGAGGAATAGATAGGGTTTTAGCGGTTATGTGTAATATAGTTATAAAGAAGCAAATATAGCTGCAATTCGGGATAAATCTAGTATGTTAGAAAATTTAAAATCGTTAATGAATTTTAATGATTTAAACGCAAAATTATGATAAACGAACGTTAAAAAAACATAAAACAAACATGTGATTAGTATCACAAAACTCAACGTTAAGAAAACCAAATATATGATAGCAAACAAAACAATATACAGGATGACGGTATAAAAGTCGGAGATGATGTACTGGATAAAGTAGAGAAACTCGTGTATTTAAGCAGTAATATCAATGTTAGCTCGGATCGAATCGTAGAAATTAAAAGCCGTATAGAACAAGCCCGAACAACTTTTGTACAAATGAGGAACGTACTTTGTAGCTATGATCTAAGCATTGACTTTTACGTTTAAATGATATACGGCAATATTTTTCCAGTACTGCTGGATGGAGGTCAGCATTGACTTTAAGTGAATCGATGCTTAAGTGCTGCGAAGTATTTGAGATATGGTTATATAGACAACTACTAAAAAAATACGCATAGCTTTGATGATAGCCAAACTTTGGAACGAAGACGGCACTTGAAGAAGAAGAAGAAGACAACTACTACAGATAAGCTGTATCGGCAGAGTTAAAAATGAGGACAGACCAGTTTGCTAATTAGTTTCTAGTTTTTTACTTGTGTTGTGGTGTATTTTTATATACACCTATATTGTGTGTTTTCAAATAAATGCAATCCCTATTGGACATTGATAAAAATTGAAAGACGTCCTCTTCGACGAAAGAAATAGATGTGGATGTAATTAGTGAGAACAGTGCATTGGTAATTAAAGATTAAACAACTCAGAAAAAAGATGGTTTGCAGACCACGAAAATGAAGATAAAGCATTTTAATTTGCTATCAGATAAGTACAATTTAAATAATATTATATATACTGTTTAAGAAATTAATACTTAGTATATAGAGAATATTGCATGCAGTTTTAAGTATATATAGAACAAAGCGTAAGATTAAAAAATAATCAACAATAGAGTATGTAGATAAGAAAATTGTAGTTATAACTTTTTTGGGAAATATTCTTCTAAGTTTCGTTACCTTCAATCAAGTTTATTTTCCCGTTGAGCAATTTGTTTGTAGAGTTGTACAATGTTACATGTGTCTGAAATTTTGACATGTTTATAAACAGTGCAAAATTATACAGGATTCCTGTATACAATGCGGTGAAATTAAAAACGCAGATCATAAATGTGACAAAACCAAGTTTTGCATACACTGTAAAAATAGTGACCATGTAACAATACCTAAAAACTACCCTTTATATGGAAAGCCGAAGAAAATTAAGACCATTATGATAGAGTATCACATTACCATTTTAGAAGCAAAATATACTGTGAAAATTCATTCTCCGGCCAAATTTGTCACAATCCTTTTTCTGTTCTTTCAAATTTGAAGAATTTGAAGAATGATAAAGAATTTCCCACACTCCCTGTTAATAATAAAAATATTTCTTTAAATCGACCCAATAGGATTATGAGACAAACTCAAATTCCAACACACCGTCAAACTAATTTTGATAGCGAAAATCTTTCTACGGAAAGAATGGAAAAGCCAACTCCCCTCCTATTTAATCAACAGTACAGCATTAAATTTTTACCTTTGCATTTGGACCCTCACAACACTTACCTCCTAACTAGGGATTGCAATCCAGCAGCATTTTCAGTCCAGCTGGATTTTTGCAAGACTGGCCTGAATCCAGCAGGATCCAGCAAAATGTGGAATCAAAATAAAAACACGATTTTAATGTTTTTTTTTGTTCATTTATTACTTTTTAATACAAATTAATAAAATAAAAACTTGAAATAAAAATTATATTAGCTGTATATAATTAAATAAGGACGTATAATCAGTCGCAATTCGCAATCAATCTTACCTCTCTTTAACATAAAATGGCTAGAGCAAATGCCATAATTATCATGAGATAAAAAAAACTCAGTAATCCGTGGAAGCGAAACATAGGGCTTTGCTTGTGTCGGCTGAGAATTGACAATGATATTGTCAATGAAATCTTATCCAAATGAACTTATCTATTGTAAGTGTAGTTCATTTGAAGCAAATTTTATTAATGGTAATTTTGAGTGGACACAAGTTAAGTAATATGTTCTTTCTTCCATGGCTTACAGAGTTTTTTTTGGATATCATGATAAAAATCAGCCTGTATTCTAAATTTCTAAACAACAGAATCATGAATTATTTAGTTTTTTTGGAAGTGAGACATTAAAAAACATATTTTATCTTTTGTCTTATCGCCTAACCTAATTCGCACAGATCTGCACACTCTACGCTGGTTGGTTTTAATGTCATCAAATAGTCCTAAACCATGGACAAATGATCGCATTTCACTCTTTAATCTCTTTAAGTAAATGGTCATTTCCTTTTTAAAATCTTTTCGTAATCTTTTTGAGAACCAGCTTTTTTTTGGTTATAAAAGATTTCTCTATCTCGTTTCAGTTCAATCTCAAGTTCTTGCTCTAAAGTAAAATTCACGGGCTCCGGATTAGCTGGCATATTTTCTACTTCCATTATGTCCTCTTGCACTGTTTCCACAATTACTTGTTTATTTATACGACTTAACAATTGTTTCTTCTCTTGTCGCGTTGCATTCTTTTTCGGCATGGGGAAATAACCAGGATTGTTTAGTCATTCGTCGTACTTTTTGGGATTTTGTACACTAATGTACCTGTAATTTTAGTTTAGTGGCTATTTAGTTTATCTAAGACAAATTTCAAGGTTGTGTCGACTGTTATCAAAGTGCACTCTCTTCTACTGAGAGCTTCTACAGCCAGTTTCACCGGTTGAAAAGTGGCGATCAACTCATTGATTAGTAACCACTCGCCAGCAGAGAATTTGATCGCGGAATCAATGTCTATCAACGCTTTATCGATGCAAACTTTTAGGCTGTAGAAACGTTCGAGCATACTGAGCAAACTGTTTCACCTGGTGCGGCAGTCAAACTTAATTTCTTGCCTTGCTCTTCCTTGACATATTTTTGCAAGAACATGTCGTCTTTGGTAGGTGAGTTTTAGAACGTTTTAACAACTTTTCGTATTTTCATGAGTAAATGGCTGTATTTTAACAAGACTCACCGATGAAGAGTGGGCAAAGAAAGAGAGGTGATGTATACCATTAAAAGGAGAAAGTTGGAATATCTCGGACATATAATGAGAAACAGCACTAAATACAGATTACTGATGGTAATCCTACAGGGTAAAGTATTCGGAAAGCGAGGAATTGGGAGAAGGAGAATATTATTTTTGAAGAACCTGAGGAAATGGTTCTCCACAACAACAACGAATCTATTCAAAGCATCAGTTAATAAAATAATTATAGCCAGAATGATTGCCAATATTCGGAACGAATAGGCACTGAAAGAAGAAGACCGATGTTGGTTCGATTGTTACTACAAATCCTTCATTCATCTCTCTCTCCATATCTTCATTTTCGTCTTCATATTCATCAGTGTCATCTATTTCTGCTTGTTCTACTTCTCTTTGAGGTTTCTTTTTATACAGCACGTCTACTACAGCAAAATGAATTTCATGTACATAGCACAGTTGTTGATAGCAAGGTATGAGCTTGCCAACTTTCACCATAACGTATGCGCCGTCGGTTGTGATAGCAATGGTGTCGGATTCAATCATTAAACCAAAAATTTTCAACCGTTCTGTCATTAATTCAATGCAGTGATCGGTAGTGCACGAGCTGTGAATTCTGATCAAACCTAGATTAAAATGTTCTGCATTGTGCAAACTGAGATTTATGTATTTGCGATTTTTTTGGGAGGTCAACTCGTCGAAGTTCAACGAAAATCGTTGTCCTTTTTTTATAAACTAGTAAATTCTTTTATAAGGTTTGCTTAGACTTTCTCTGCATACCAGTAAATTATCGCTCTTATAGTGTTTGGAGAAGTTTTTAATTGGAATCCACTTTTTGCGAATAACCGTCTCAAGTGGAATGAGGTACAAAATTAACTCAAGCTAAAACCATCTTTGCAAACCATTCTAGTAACCATATCTTTACCAAATCCAATTACTTACCATTCAGTTTCCAAACAGTTCACACGGCAGTACATTAGATCGAAAGAGGCACTTATTAGGCATAAAAACAGTGTTACTGGCGAGAGCAGAAATTAGACAAATAGAAGAGGTCTAAGAGCAGAACAGCTATTTTATACCTACAATAGATAATAGTAATTTTAATGTCTTATAAACATTTTTTTAAAATAAGTCAGTGGAACGCTAGATCTGCTGTTGCCAATAAAGGCAGCTTAACGAATTATTTTAACAAAGAAAAAATAGACATTCTTCTTCTCAGTGAAACATGGGTTAAAAAAATTTGCAATATCGATTTAATGGTTATATTATTATCAGGAATGACAGGCACGTCGGTTTTGGCGGCGTTGCCATATTAATTCATAATTCAATTTATTTTAGTGAATTAAAGTTAAATTGTAGTTATAATAAAGATATTCAAGTATATGGTACAAAGACTAAATACGAAAAAAGTGAATTAAGCATATTATCTATATACAAATCGCGTAAAAGTAAAAGCACAGTATATGATTGGACGAATATTTTCTCGGAAGTAAGTAAACCAGCAATTATAGGTGGAGACTTCAACGCTCGTCATACAATCTGGCGATCGAATTTTAATGACGTAGTTGAAAAACAACTTATAACAGCTGCAGATGATTTGCTTGTGGCATTTTAAAGTAAATGCCAATAAGCCACAATTGAACGATAAAATAAGTTTATTGACATTTCAATTTCCACTTTCGAAATCGTTCTGAAAATACAAACATTAATAAATCAATTTATTATTGTGATTTCCAAAGTGGAAATTAAAACGTCAATAAATGTATTTTAACGTTCAATTGCGGTTTATTCCCATTAAAATAGTATCTACGAAAATATACTATTTTGCGTGTCCATTATTCGACTATACTAAATATTTTCTATTTTATTTTGTATACACACAAAATGAAACAAAATATAACGACCGAGAACTTTTGTTCTGAAACGTGCGAAAAAGTTGTATTTAATATCCACATGTTCAGATGGGGGTAAGGTTTTCCAGAAAGTAAACCTGATTAAGTTGTAAATGTCACTTATATGGATTGATGTTGCGTAAACATGTCTAAAAATACATTTCGACAGAAGCAGCGGTGAAATATAATACGGAACTTTTTCCGCTATTAAGTATTGTGGGGTATCATTATATTAACAAGATTTTTCCGCTTGGATTTTTATCTTTGTACAAGGTCCTTTAGGTTTTGAGTGCACTAACGTGTTTATTGAAAAGTAATAATTTCATTTTAATAAAGACAAAAGTCTTAAACTGAAATACTCCTAGAATAAACCTTAATTATATTGAAAAGCTTATTTTAAGTAAATATTATAGGCTGAATGTAAATTTGAGTCATATATTGTTTAATTGTAATGTAATCTAATTTTGAAATAGGTATCTTGTTTTGCTTCAAAGGAAAGTAATCTGATAACAGTATTTTATATTATATTATATTATATTTATAGTCATAGCCAAACATAGACCTTGGAAATAAATTTTTTTTAATCACATTCGGTGTATTCGAGACGAAATAATCCAATCTAATAAAAGGATGTGATGATGCGTCACACAGAAACGATAACTCCTCTCGCCACCTAGGAAAGATATCTGAAATACTTACTGACATTTCAACCTTAACCAATCTGCCATTTTTGTATTTTTAAGCAGCGCAAAAAAAATCAAATATATCGTTTATTAGAAAGCATTAAATTACTTAATGTGCTTGCCCCGTTTGGGACAGATTCGCTGGAACACCAAACAAGTGGATATTACGCTAAATAAAGCATGCAGGATGGTAAAGGGATGCATAGAACCAACGACACTCTTAAATCTATATAAAGCAACGGGTTTTGAAAATTGTTCAACACGCAGAAATGTAGCAGAGCACATTAAAGAGAAAATTATAGAAATCGCAGATAAGTGGTATGCCCTATACAGAGCTCAAACACGACGAAATAGTCTGAAATGCAGAAAGGTTGCTTGGAGCAGTTCGGTATATTGTTCTATTCCCTAGCTTTCATGGACCGATCAATCTCTAGTCTTTAAAAGGAGGAAAACTATGAATAGGATAAGAACGAGGGTCGCTCTAGTAAAATTAAATATAGCAAAATGAGAGAAAATATACCATGATAATGTAAACTGAGGGGACATATACTGTGGGGAAATACAAAATCTGAAACAATCCTCTTAAGTGCAGAATCTATCCCCACGGTATACTCTCGAAGATTTGTGGCTCGCCAATAAAGATGAAGCTGCCTTGGCCCGATATTATACCGAGATTATATGAATTATATGTCAGGACACGATAAAGTAAAGAAAGTAAGAAAATTTTTATTGCTATATAGTAGTAGTAAATCAGCATGTGTAAATATCCCAATGCATATGCTGCTGTTACATAATTATGTAGGACTTTGGTGTTTAGGAATTTGTAACATGGGTATGTTTCATTAAACTCTTGTACGGCGTGTGCTATTTTGCTTACCAGGCTATAATGCAATTCGTTATTGTTCTGCCGTGTATTATGAGGTTGAATTTCTTAATGACGAGATCAGGAATCTGCTTATTTAAATAATTAGGATCTTGATATTTAACTACATCTTGATTATAAATTTCTCGTTCAACTTTGCTTCTGATGGTATAATAAACATGGTATATTATTACTTAATAAGATTATTTCTTATAATCACCCTGTATTAATTTTATACTCCTGGTTCATATACTTGAATTTTTTAGTACTCCTGCAAAACTTGGCATAAAGATTAAATAAATTTGTCTACTTTGAAGAGAAATATTCCACCACATCAAAAATACAAAGGTAAACAATATATAACTAACTATGTTATAATTTATTTTAAACATACATACTTTTAATTAATATTTAACTGGACATAAGCCACAATTAAAGATAAAAATACGTTTATTGATGTTTCAATTTCCACTTCGGAAATCGTTCTCAAAATACAAACAGTAAATTAAACAAATTTTGTTTTTTGTTGCATAGTGAAAAATTCTTCTAATAATTTAATTTTATCTGATTTATTTATATTGACAATTCAGACATACATTATGCATTTTAAAGTAGACGACTTTAAAATGATATTGCCAATATTGTTGAGTTGCGCTCCTGGGACGACTTTACTTATAAGATAGTTCATTCGATTACATGAAATCAACTTTAACTTGAGAATATCCGTCAGAAAAAATCATAGCATATAATTCGTCTTTAAAAAGACAAACACGTGACATGATGACAGTAAAATTCTCTTGTTAGTGATTCCATAGTAAATTATGAGGGAAAAACCAAGAAAAAAACCTCATAATACTATCCCTACATTGTAAGTATTTGTTCGTGAATTTAGTTTACCTTCAACAAACATCAAAATTCTGATTTTATATGTTACGTTATTTAAAAAACATAAATAATCTATCCTCTATATGTTACTGACTTACTAATACTGGTATTTTCTTATTAATAACTTCCTCTTTCAATATTTGTAACCAGATTCTACTACATTCTACCGAGGAATTTGCGACACAATTGGCCTCATTTA